TGCCCCCCTTGTTCCCCTCTTCTCCCGCCCCTCGCCCCTTGGTGCCCCCCCCGGGAGAGAGACCCTCCTCGGGCAGCATTTCCTTCAGCCTGAAGCTCCCCTGGGCCCTGCCCGGGCTGGTGCTCGCTTCCAGCCTTGGGTCAGAGGGCGAGGGGCGAGCGGGCGGCCGGGATGGAGCGGGGATGGACCCGGGATGGAGCCAGGATAGACCGGGGATGGGCCCGGGATGGAGCGGGGATGGACCTGGGATGGACCTGGGATGGAGCAGGGATGGAGCCGGGATGAAGCCTGGAGGGGCCCGGGATGGAGCCGGGAGGGACCCAGGACGCCGAGGCTCCGCGGGTCGGTCCTTGTCCCGGTCCTTCTTCTGAGAGCCTGGCCCAGGTTGGCCAGAGAAGCTGTGGCTGCTCCATCCCTGGAGGGGTTCAAGGCCAGGTTGGAGGGGGCTTGGAGCAACGTGGTGTGGTGGGAGGTGTCCCTGCCCAGGGCAGGGGGTTGGAACTCGATGGTCTTTGAGGTCCCTTCCCACCCAAACCATTCCATGATTCCATGATTTGGGCTGCAGGTGGAAGGGCCCGCAGCGGTGGGTGGGCAGGGGAGGGAGCTTCTGGGCCTGGTTCCTCCAGGCAAATGGTGTTTTCTGGGCAGGGGCCGAAGCTGGGGCTGGGGGAGCCGCCGGTGGTGCCGGTGTCAGGCTTTGGTGGCCGGTGCTGAGCCAAGGTGCTTCTTGCTGCAGATGGCGGTGACGTTCGAGGAGGTGGCCATCTACTTCTCCCCCGAGGAGTGGGCCGAGCTGGGGGGCTGGCAGCGGCGGCTCTACCGGGAGGTGATGCTGGAGAACTACCAGGCGGTGGCCGAGCTGGGTGAGGACTCTCTGCGGTGCCGCCGGGGCCGGGCTCCAGCTGGAAGTCCCCTCTGGGACTGAGGGTCTCTCTCTGCCCCGCACAGGCTGGTGCCCCGTCAAGCCGGAGATCATCTGCCAGATGGAGCGAGAAGAGACGCCGTGTGTGCCAGACCCCCCTGGGGCACGGCGCAGCCGCGGGACCCCTGAGCCAGGTGGGTCTGGGGGGGCTGCAGAGCTCATGGGAGGGTCCCACAGGTGCTCCGTGCCCAGGGAGGGGGGGGGCTGGCGGGGTCCCTGTGCTGCTCCCCGTGGGGAAGGGTCCCGTGTGCCTGTCCCATCCCCGGCAGTGACCATGACCTCTCCTCCCCAGCAGACGGTGATGTCCAGACGCAGAGGGAGGATGGGGGGCTCCTCCAAGGGCTGTCAGACCCCACCAGCCGGCTCCCAGGGCGGCCCGAGCAGGACGGGAGGTGGTCGGGGGGCCTCCAGGCCAAGCTGCTGCCACCCCAGCTCCCCCACGGCCCCTCAGACCCCAAGAGACCCCACGTGTGTGTCAAGTGTGAGAAGAGCTTCGGCAAGATCCAGGACCTGAGGAGGCACCAGCAGACGCACACGGCGGCGCGGCCCTTCTCCTGCCGGCAGTGCGGCCGCCGCC